TGCAGAGTCAATCACTATGCACCTCCAAACTACATCACCAAGGGCAGTGTGGTTGTGGTGTAAAGTAAACCACCACTGGACTCCAGAGCATTGGAGGAGCATTCTTTAGAGAGACAAATAGCTCCTATCCATCAGGAAATCTGATGGACAAGTCTGGGTTTGCCAGTTGCCAGGAGAACAGTATTTCTCTGACTCCATTGTACCAAGTGTAATGTTTGGTGGAGGGGGGGGTTATGGTGAGGGGTTGTTCTTCATGAGGCCTAGCCCCTTAGTTCCAATGAAAGGAACTCTGAATGCTTCAGATTTACAAAGACATTTTGGACAATTCCAGGCTTCCAACTTTGAGTTACTAATGCTCTTTCTAGTCAAGGCAAGTGAGCGAACACTGTTCATAATATAGTGTATACGCCACAAGAACAGTGAGTCTTGTGCTCTCTTCCAGGGTTGCGAGAAAAAGAAGTAATTCCGTGCTGGTTAGGATATTTCATACTTCATAATCTGGTGAACTGTAAAGTGCTTTGAGGTGACATGTGTTGTGAAATGGCGCTATGTAAATAAACTGAACTGAATAGAATAAGAACCAAAGTCCTTCATATCTCAAAACATTGCCATTTTTTGCAGGCACTGCATATAATGTATGAGTAAAAACACTTTCCCAAAATATAATGCTGCAAGAACTATCTCTGTCTATTTTTGCAAAGTGGCTATTGGCATTAACTGGGAGGCATCAGTACCAAAAACCATTGCCCTGCAGTTAACTAAAAATATACGCAGTTATGCCAAAAATAACAGATTCCCCAAAACTAAACATAACGTTCTTATACCTGGAAGCAAACTGTTCCTGCATTTCACAGCACATTAAGAAAATAAGACATCACAACAAATAGAAAACTTCCAGAAGAGTGCTGCAAAAAGAGCTGTGAAGACGTGTTAGAGAAGAGTGTCTTGGTAGTGAAATAATGTGCAAACAGACTATTTTGTAGACCTTCAATTAATTCTGTTAGCTTGTTACTGTATATGAGGACAGAACAAATCTAATACAACAGGTTTCTCTTCTTTTTAAATGACTGAAATAAAACCCATTGAACAGCCAGGACTGTCTTTGTATTATTAACCACCATCTGTGCGTGACATAAGCACCAATAGCAGTGGTGCAGAATAGCACATGGCAGGGCTGCTGGCCATGTTTATCAATGTATCTGCATAAATATAATGAAAAATTCCAGGCAGTCCCAGAGCGATTGAAGGACTGCGGAGAGAAAAAGAAGTGTAAATTGAAATGGCAGGGAGAGTATGAAAGGTTAAAACAACTTTTGTTTGGAATCACAATCTACTAAATGGAATGCCCCTGTGAAATTAGATAAGCATGGATTACTGTAGAGAACTTATGGGGGACCATTGTGGAGATAGAGCAGCTTCTTTACAGGGCTGCAAAAATCTATTTCCATTTCCTCCTCTCACCTCTCAATCCTGTTTTTACTTTTTCTGTCACACTTCAGCTCTCCCCCAGAAAAATATATAAGAAATAAATAAACTAAATACAGAAAACTTATTTTTTAGATTATGATGTTATTTATTAGGGGCAGAATATTGTTCAAACAAATCTAGACCTATCTGCCGTTTAGTTAACAGCATCTGCTTTGTGCAATGATAAGCCCTCATACATCACCCGTTTGACATCTGGAAGTAGGCTTAAAACCAACACATCAAGCCATGTTCAAAAATAAATAAAAAAAGATTAATTAATGTAAAATTAATATAAATAGACTGTTCAAGGACCATTTCTGGAATTTGATCTTTCACCATCATAACTTAAAATCTCAACAGCAACAGCTTCTACACGCATGATTCATCCATATTCACCCCAAAACTGATGACATTAGATCCATGCATCCTACAGCAGATTACCTTGTAGGGTCTTTGGTCTCTGAGAGGATCTCCAGAAGTTCTTCATTGGAGAGGAAGAAAAATCGAGGGAAATAGAGACGTTTCTTCTCCAGGTAGTTATTGAGCCCTTTGTGTATACGTTCAAGGATTTGGTTGGACCTTTTTAGCTTCTCCAGCACCTTTTCAATCACCATCACAGCTAAAACATGCCTGTCCTACAACAGATAGAACAATGATCAAGCAGAATTATGAATAAACAAGAAATTATTAGGTGTGCAAACTCATTGTGTGATCACTTTTCTATGGTAGATCATCATAACAACAGGCCCAGTGGCCTAATGGATAAGGCATCAGCCTCCGGAGCTGGGGATTGTGGGTTCAAGTCCCACCTGGGTCGTAAGGTGATAAAACCTATTTTGATAACAGATATGCAAAATGACCATGTTCAGTTAAGAAGCTCAGGTGGAGGCGCGTACAAACATTTCCACTTTACTAAAATACACACACTCCCCCCAGGGAACTATGGAGGATAAAAAGTGCCAAAATTAAATAAATACATACAGCATTAAATAAATAATTAAATGTGGAATTAAATAAATAAGCGTGTCATTCATTAATTATTAATTAGGGGGCGGTTATCTAACACCTGATTGGTCACCCTTTACATTAAGGCAAAGCAAATCGATTACAGAGACTCGATCCGCGTTAACCCCGCCCCCTAACTTTGATGGGTGAGTTTGACAGATTATTTTAATGGTTTCGATGCACTGCGACACAGGACCACGAAATAATTAAATGCACACTGAAATAATTATATATATATTTTTAATAAAATTAAGACGTATTTTATTAAATTAATGACACATTTATATATTTAATTCCTTATTTATTTAATGAATTACACATTTAATTAATTGTTTATCGCTGTATTTATTTATTTAATTGTGGCACTTTATATTAGTGACGTGGTTTTAATTAATGAATGACACATTTATTTATTTAATTCCACATTTAATTAATGATTGATACATTTAATTATTTATTTAATTTTGTATTTATTTATTTAATTTTGGCAGTTTTTATCCTCCATAGAGGAAAGGCACACTCAAAATATTTTATCTTACAAATAGGCCAAGGAAAAATATGCTTCCACAATCAGTACCTTTATGTCAGGGATCAGCCTTGTAGGCATTATTAAGAAAGATTATTCTCCATCTGTCTGTTCCCTTCCCAATTTTAGCACATGCTTAGCATTTTTAAACCTGTCTTGAACACTGTTGATAAGCTGAGCAGCCGATCAACATTCCCGCCTTATTGAAGAGAAGCTTTTATTCTTTCCTCTCAGGAAATAAGAGCCCAGCATCAGAGAAGTCTGTCCTTCTTATAAGCCTTATAGTTCTAATTTATAAGTGTTATTATTAAAAACAAAACAACCACCTACAACTGTCTATAAAACATACACATTCAAATATGCTTCACACTATGTCCTTTAGAGCTCAGCTCAAAGAAACTGCATTTTCTCCCGACTTCGTGCTGAATGTTTCACCAAATGGTTTAAAGATTTAACTTGGGTGCTAAACTCTAATTCCCTGCACTAGAATCACATCTATAACTATTACACCATGGGGATTAAATAATTTATTTAAAAGGGAATCTAATTTTAAAGATTGTGCAGAGAATAAGTGACCTGATTAAATAAGTTGGGTATTCTATTAATAGATAAAAGCCTGATATTGGCTGCTGGAATGAATGATATATAATAAAGACAGAAGCAAAATGTAGGAAACAGATGCAGAAACTGAAATCTATCTCCCAGTCTCTCTGTCAGCGCTGTTTCCTTTTAATGAAAACACATTTAAATGATTTGACGTTCCTCTGCAGCAGTTTGAGCTAAATTACACTGTAATTAATTCTTACTTTTACTTGATTGAAGACTGTCTCTCTCTTAAGTGAGTAAAGGAGGGACTTAAAATATAACAATACGTCTGGCTTTAAAAAGAAGAGAGAATGAAACCACTGAAAATAAGGTTTTTGTTTTAAATCAGACACAAATTACTTCAAGAGACAGATGTTTTAGAGGCTAAATGAAGCCGTCCAGCTCAGTCGAAAACACACAGCAGATGACGCACAGACAAAAAGTCTGGTTTGATTGAGTTTCAGAAGCCAGACGATTATTCCAGCAAAGTGTGTTTGATTGATAAAGTATGATTCTGTCTTTTCATAAATCTCATCAGGCTTATGATTTTGGCCCATTCTCTGAGAGGACAATGCAATAATAGGTCTAATTTTATATTCACTGAGCCGGCGGGAGCTATTCAGGAGCACACTGAATGGATAACATGGTATTATTATGTGTGATAATGTAGTTTTTATGCACCGAACAGATGGCTTTAATGGAAGGCAGAAAATGTGCAGCTGATGGAGTAGAGTAAAATGCTAAGGTAAAAACATTTGAACAGCTATGCAAACCGTAGATTTATACCGGACACATCCTTATTAGAGCTTAGCAGTCAGAGCATTTAAATAAGTTAAACTGCTCTGATACTGTTGCTATGCAGGACTTAAATTTTAAATATTTATTTTCTAAACCCTGAGATGTAAAAGGAATCAGAAAGAGACAGAAAGATTGTGTAAAGCAGAGATAAATGAAGCAGATTGATCGAAATAAAGCTTTTAAAACCTGTTTATAAACGTGCACCCAGGAGATCAGGAGTCAAACAATAAAAGAAACAGACGATAATTAAATAAAAATGACTTTTTGTAAAATGAGGAATAACTGAAAGCGCTGATGGAGACAAAAGTCAGTGAATCTTGAGCACCTTCTAGAGGTGGATGAGATAATAACAGTTGAAAAAGAAATTGATGTTTGGATGTTCTTCATGGCTGAACTCAGACGGACATGGAGATGGAGATGGAAAATATGTTGTTTTTATCATTTTATTCATTTTATATTGCTCTCAATCATTTGTTTTTCTATGTGTTACTCTCATCGTTGGAAATAGTGTATGAAGGTCATAAGACAGTCAAATGTTTTGCAAGAATGCTTTCCTGTTTTTCATTTGAGAAGCAGA